GAATGGGGTGGGTGTTGGGGGCACTGGGGTGAACTGGGGGGGCTCTGGAGTGTGGGACCAGCTGGAATGGGGCACTGGGAACGGGGACCCACTGGTGCTCAGATCCATGAGCTTTGGGCACTGGGACCCGCTGGAGCTGGGCACCCCGGGCTCTGGGAACCCCAAACTTTGGGACCTGCTGGAGCTGGGCACCCCAAGTTTTGGGAGCCACTGGAACTGGGCACCCCAGGCTTTGGTTACTGGGAGCCACTGGGGCAGGGCCCCCCGGGCACTGGGCACCGGGGGCTGTGTGTTGGGGCACCCCAGGCACTGGGACCTTGCTCCCCTGGGGCACCCCATGACTGGGAAATGGGGACCCTCAGTCCGGACCACCTCCAGGGGCACTGGGACGTACTGGAACCCACTGGTGCCACTGGGACCCACCCACCCTCACCGGGCACCCCAGGATTTGGGCTCCAGGACCCCCTGGGTTTGGACACCCCACGGTGGGCACCGGGACCCCCCTGGCACCCTGGGTATCCCACACTGGGACCCCCTGCAAGCCTTTGGGTGCCACCGTGGGCACGGGGGTGGTGGCACTTGGTGGCGGCGAGGCCGGACCCCCCTCCCCGGGTACCTCAGGATGTTCTCGATGCAGCTGCGCTGGCGGAAGAGCGCGTTGACCACGGGGGTGCCCTCGGGAACCAGCGGGGCCTTGCAGAGGAAGGCGAGGATGGACAGGACGCTGTGGAAGCCCTGGAATTCGGGGTCGGCCTCGGTGCAGAAGGTGATGCGCTGGCACAGCTCCGTCAGGATGGCCAGGTCCAGGATGATGGGGCTGGCCAGCAGCGAGTCCTGCGGGCAACCAGGGGTTCAGGAGCCACCCCAGCACCGAGGGGACACCCCGGGGACAGCCCGCTGGCCCCGCACGCACCTCGCAGGTGTTGTGGATGACGATGGTGTTGGTGCCGCCCATCATGATCTCGGACGTGTACTCGTCCAGCGCCCGCTTGCTGTCCCCCACGTAGGGCACGTACTTGATCACCACCTGCCAAAGCCACGGCCCCGTCACCCCCACTGTCACCTGCGGGTGTGACCCCACCCCGCGGCCCCCAACTCACGCAGTGGTCGGGCTTGTCCTGGGGGCCGTAGAGGATGGGGTTGGCCTGGACCGTGTCGTCCACCACATTGCTCTTGGAGATCTCCTTGGAGCGGAACTGCTGCGGCGCCGACAGGTTCTTGCCGTCGTTGTTCCCCAGGTGGTTGTAGCTCACGATGGACTTGGTCTGGCCAGGGGGACACGGGTGGGTCACCCCCTGTCCCCTGCGGGTGGGAACACCCCCCCAGCCCGAGCCCCCCACGTACCTTGAGCCCTGCGCCCACCAGGAAATCCACCAGCACCGACTTGAGCTTGGTCTGCCCCGACTTGAAGTCGTCTCCGCCGATGAAGACGCGGCGCTGGGCGGCCAATTCCACCGCGCCGGGCACGAAGGTGTTCTGGGGGGAGCCGTTGATGTAGGCGCAGCCCTCCAGGATGCTGGCCACGGCGAACAGCGTGGAC